GTAACAAGTGCCTTACTAGTAGTAACAAGAAAGCTAGTAGTAACAAGAAGTCATGCCGTTATAGTCACCTATGCGGACCCGCGGAACCTGTGACGGGATGCAGAACCTTGTTGTCTCCACCGTAAGCACGCGTGTCGTTGCCGGCGCAGCAGTGGCCAACCCTGTTCAAAACTGCTATCACTTTGTGGTGAAGTTGGATGCATCCTGTTTGTTTTATTTGTGACTGTGTCTCCCAACATCCAGGCAAAACCTTGCGGCATGCGCTGTACGAAAGAAAACGCGCTGAAGAAATGACAGTGCAGAACTGGACCACTTGTCCTTTCGTCCGCCTGTTGGGGGTGGTGCATGTGCTTGTATTTTTGACGGATTTTGACGATTGCCGCAGCGCCCTGAATCATGTTTTTGTAGCTGAAAGAAACCATATCTGGAGACGAGAAAGTTGAAAGTTTCCCACACAAACTGCATCAAGTTTTGGGAGTATTTGCGACCTTTTCGTCCAGCATGCGCAAGTGCCTCCCACAGTTCCTTCTTTTCAAGGTCTTCATGGCAATGCACTTCAACCGCTACTATTGCCTTGGAGCCCAGTGATCCAGTGCATCGTACAGTGTGATGCAGGGAGGACCCAAAGCAGCCTGGGTTCGGTGATAAACATACACTATAGTAGCTTCTTGTTACTAGTAGTAATGGCCTCCAACCTAATAGCGATGGCCTCCAATCTAGGAGCTTCTTGTCACTCGTAACAAGGGCATAAATCTTCGGTGGGCGGCAACACACCATGTTCAATCAGAGTATTCACACTTAGGCGGCAGGTGCCAGTTGACCTACCTCATCAAGAAGGACGTGCGAATTGGGCTTCCCAGCTAACTCTGTGTGGCCTTTACAGTCCTTCCCTCTCTGCACGACGTTTCTGGATCTAACTCTCGAGCTGTAACATTTCTACAAGACTAGTGACTAGCCTGCTACTTTTTAAGTTCTAGGCCATAGTGCAATAACCATTGTCCGCCCGTTCAACGTTCCACATCCTTTGGTCTTGTGCTTGATTCAACATGGAGCAAAATTGGTCACCTGTTGAGCCACGGTTTTTTCCTGCTGTCACTCCTTGCACCATGGCAGTGGACATGGACTTTCTGACAGCTGACAACATGTGGATTGCTAAGGCACGAGAAGGAGGTGCAGCAGTCGAATCACTTGAAATCGGTATGAATCGGTTTTTTGCGGGGGCAGCTGGCTTGGGTAACTTGTTGTTTGCTGCAGTTCTGGCCCGAAAGAGCAGCTTCAGCTGCTTGAGCTTCGATTAATATGGGGAGTATCGATTGGGACTCTCGTGAGTATCCTGGTCACTATCAGCCCGTACAGCTTGATCCTTTGCTCAAAGGTGTCGTTGAAAAAGCCTCTCAAACTCATCCACTCGGTCAGGAAGTCCTTTGGCTGGCAATGAACTCTCCCATGATCTCAGTCTTATTATATAGATGTGTCAAAGTGACCAAGGTTTTTAGCCTAGGGGGTATGCGCCAAGCACGTCTTCACTTATTAAGAAATTGGTCATGACTGATTCTCACAAGAAAAACTATGTTCAGTGTTTGGGGGTCCAAGTAGTTATATACACGCATTTGACTAGGCACAAGGCAAGTGAGGGTCACCCAGAATTCGCCTACTACTGTATCAGTTGTTTTCCTTCCAGTCACAGAGCTTCGAGAATCAACCCATTCTTTGCTACAAGGAAACAAACGTAAAGCGAATAGCGAATAATTTGATGAGCGGCCTACAGTCACAGTCCAGGTTTTCGGGTGTTGCTCTCCCAAACTTTGCTCATTTGGAAGGAACAACTCTTCTTTTGCCACTAGTAACAAGTGCAACGCTACTAGGAACAGGTGCCTTACTAGTAGTAACAAGAAGCTATTAGAAACAAATGCCTTACTTTCTTTTGCCATGTCTAAGGACCCGAACGAGTTCAACTTGCCATGTGGGTTTTGTGATTGGTGGAATAGGCCCGGAAAACAATTACGCGTTTGTGGATCACATCGGGGAAGATGTTCGTATTCTTATCAGATCCATGAGGTTCCAGTTGCCCAGATGTGCCAACTTATTTGTTCACGTCATCCTGAGAAGTTGGCGAAACTTTCAGCTTGGGGTGATGATTCAGCTTCTCCCTGACTTCGTGGCGCACACACACACACACACCGTCCACACTGCGAGAACAGACAAAATTCATCGGTGGGGTTGAAATGCCTGTGGTGCGTTGGTATTTGTCGTACCCATGTCCATCATGTCGTGTTGTTCCGCAACTGCGTCGATGGCACCGGGCCAATTCGCACCAGACTCTGTTGACCCTTCACACACCGCGAGCAGCATTGGGCACTTGGACCACACTCTCATGTACTTTCAACATGGCTGTGGGTCAAAACCAGGATACTTGCTGACCTGCCTGCAAGGTCGTTCGCTACATAGTGGACTGGTCGGGCTCCAGGTTTTGACTCATCCCCACTTTTCAGGCCCTGCAACGCTAGGCAGTATGCTACGTGTAAGGTCCATTGAAGCCCAAGAACGAATTGCCACGCCTGGCGAGGCGATCGATTTCATGCTGCTGTTGCTTCCCATGTTGCTCGGTTGCCTGAAGGCCTTGCCAGTCTCAAATAAGTATGTGCATGGTAGACTCATGCCTTGTTTGTTGCCGAAGGGTTCAATTCATAGGAAAGACATTGCGACCGTATTCTTCATGAACTTAGTAAAAGATTCGGTTATTAATGACGGCTGTGATTGAATGTTTTTGGTAAATTGATTTTCTTCAAATCGGTCTATGTAAGATGTGAACTCTGGTGGACAGCAAACGTTTTTTTTTGCTTTTGATGTTTTGGGTGCCAAAGGTGGCACGCCAACTTGCCTTTGCTGTTTCGGTGGTGTGACAAAGGTTACGGTGCTTTTGCTGTTGGGAAGCTCTCCGCAGCACCATAAACTTGGATGGATGATTGTCGCGATTATTGACTTCTCCCAAAGAGGGGTCTAGGAACAAAGGGCATCGCTACTAGGAGCAAGGACGCTACTAGGGGCTCCTGGCATCGCTACTAGTAACAAGAAGCTACTAGGGGCTCCTGGCCTTACTACTAGGAGCAAGAAGCTATTAGCTTATTGTTTCTACTAGCGAACATTGTTACTACTAGTAAGGCACTTGTTACTACTAGCGTGGCACCTGTTACTACTAGGAGCAAGAAGCTACTATAGGAATAATGTTCCTCACTCCGAATTCCTCCGGTCCCGCCATTTCTCTCGGCGAACGTCCGAGGCTTCCAATGTTGTGGTGGTCGATGCAACCCATGCCTCGTGCAGAAGGTAGATCCCTTAGACCCTGAGGCAGGGTTCGGGCACACGAATGAGGCGAGTCGCAAGGCGAAGACGTCTTCTCGGGACGTTTTCTGTGCGTAATTTATGGGTAGACTGACTAGACCGGTCTATTTTCCTTCTTCCAGCAGGTCAGACCGGGGGTCTTTCTCTATTTCAATACATGCCCACATGTTTCAGTCGCGAAGGCCCAGCACTTGGTTTTTGGTCAAGACTTATGAAGCACGACAACTACTAAGCTCTTCTGTTTCGCCTGATGTGATGTGTTTGCTAAAGGAATCCCACCATGACCCCACGAAGACACAGCATCAGACTTTTCAACTTTTCAATGCCAATTTCAGTGTAAGAGATGAAAAAGATGGATTCTTTCAACAGATGACCATCAATGCAAGATATTTGGTTTGGTCTCTGGATCGATGAATGGAATGGTGGCCTTGCCCTTTCTCTCTTGAATGCAGGATCTCGTCGGATCTGTTGCACTGTTTCGGTGAAGATTTGTGCTCCAAGGTCCTCCAGCTTTTCTCACAGGTCTGATTTCTGATTTCATCAGGTTTGACTACTTCATCGAAGCATTGTGAAAACCAGGTGAACACTTGGGGCAGCCCCAAACTAAACGTGGTGAAGCACGCACGATCCGCCAGATTTACAAGAAGACCATGCAGATGCCCACGAAATGTCCAGAAGCACCTTGGCGATCATGCTTTTTTTTCCTTCGGGTGTAACACCAAAAAAGCCCCGCCGGCGGAAAATGTGCAGATCGAGGCTCCAAGTCCTTAATTCTGGTCCACTTCTGAATTTATCTCATCGAATGGCATGTCATTTTGGACATGGAGAATGGAGGGAAAGTCAGGATTTGAGAAGGTCAAACGAGTCGAACTCCGGAAATCTCCACTGACCATGTCGCCTTGTCTCCGGACCGAACACTGGTGGAATGAACTCGCTGATTTGGGCGCTGTACCTTTTAATGGACAAGCGACAAGCCTTAAAGACACAGTCTCTCCAACAAGTACCAAGACATGCATACCCCCAGTGAGCCGTTGTAAGTAAGTTATCCGTCATGACTGCTAGGGGCCAGGAGTATGACCGGTGCAAACTCAAAGCCAAGTCGTGTAACTTGCAACACACATCCATTGGTGGTTGATAAATTTTGATACCCATGTCATTGATGCCGCAGGAGGCAAATGATCCTGCCCACAGCCCTATTTCTCGTTCCTATGGACAAACTACTAGGAGCTGGCCTGTTCGATGATGGAGCAGTGGGTCAAAAATCAATACATAGTAGCTCGCAAGAGAGCGGGGCTTCATGGATGCTCACTCCTACGGACAATGACAATGGCCAGGCTATCACTCGACGCGACTTGCTGTGCTTCACGACTTCTTCCTCCCACTCAAAGACACCCGCCCTTTTTTGAACCCTAAAAGACACGGTGAAAAAATCACCAGCACACCCCTGTTTCCTTTTTTCCCCCACTGCACACTGTTTCCACACTGGTTCCATCTTTTTTCAAACTCAAGATTCACCCACAAACCACAGATATTTCTGAGGAGTTCAAGGGTGTTTGGTGGCTGGAAGACAACATCGCAGCAGAGTCCTTGGTCATTTTCACCGACAGCTTCTGGGAGGACGCACATACACACACAGAATTCCAGCTCTCAGAGGTGGAACTTGATGAGTTAAGAGATAGCGAACCGCAAAAGGAACCTAAGAGCGGTGGCCTCCAACCTAGTAGCGACGGCGATGGCCTCCAACAAGAGCCTCTGAAAATAAATGAAAAGAAGGCTCTCCACGAAGCGTAGATGGACAAGTTCTGCTGCAAGCAAAGATCATCGGTCGTTGTGATTGTCGCGAATGTCGCATCGGCGCATCACGCCCATTCCTGCACATGGTCTCGCAGACGATCGCAGACAGTAGGACCAGGGCGACGGGATTTGATACTTTGAAAAAGATGTTCCTCAAAGCTGGCTCCGAGACTATTCGGGCTTCGGTATATGCCTTGGAGCCGGCAATGCTTGGAGCGGCTGTTGTAGCTGTTGCAGCTCCAACTGGTGGAATGACACTTGGCAAGCCGAGACTGGAAGAGAGGAAGGAGAGGAGGGAGAGGCATGCGAGATTCGGAAAAATTGATGAACATTGTAATTAATGTCCTTGTTCAGGAATGCAAACTTCCTCTTTGTAAGAATTGTTAGGACATTCACCCTTCTCGTTTTCATGCAAGCAGGGGCTTATCTTTGTTTGGAACCAGGAACGACTGTTGTTCCCTCTTGACTACAAGTATGATGGGAAGCACAGTCGAAGTCGAAGGTACATTACTGTGGTGGATGGAGATCCCTTCCCTCCCAGTCCCACGAAAGTCCACACAGATTCCTCACGTCTTGGCCATATCATCCGTCGATTTGGATTGCCCAACTCGGAGCCACCCAACAGATACAAAAGCGAAGCCCAAGATGAGTGATGCACTTATCCAGTGACCCTTCAATGGACATTCTGGCCGCTGGCCATT